AATCTGAGAAATATGCTATCTGGTTTCGATCTCCTCTATCACTGCACACTGCATTTTGTTCCAATAAACCGTTTTCTGTGCATAAATGAGGCACAAGTAAACTCGACGCTGAAAATTAGAAGAGATTGAAACATTACGCAAAGCTTATTAACCTACAAAGATAACGCCGACACGTTTTTTACAAAAATATATCTGTTTTTGTTTTTTTGTTTATTATTACACATTATTACATGTACGACATGTCGTATATACAAGTACTAAAAATTTTTTACGGCACCATTTGAGGAGTGATGTGCACTGAATGGCAAATCTGTCAAGCAATGAAACTTCTCACCTCTCCTTCCCGGTTTACCCCGTCGTCCAGCGGTGGTGCTATTAACTCTGTGCGGAGATCGAACATCAATTTTCGTTGGAAGCACAGGGAACGAAAAGGAACAGACAACTGGTCTTTCAGGTTGGTGGTTGGACGATAGACGGATAAGCTATCTCCATCAAAAATTATTACATTGGGGAAGTGATTCCAAGGTTCTAATCTCCGTTACATACACGTATATGTAGCAAAAAAATCAGAGGTATTCGCGAAAAAGGTTTACAGATTCGTATTCAACGACCCAAAATCTGTAAGAATCATTTACTTTTGTTCCAGTTTCCAACCACAAATTTTTTTGTGGTCTTGTGTTCTCAGTAGACAAGAGAAGCTTGGAATCGGATGGAAGAACCGAAGATGAACGACATCAGTCGGCTAGACGTGCATAATTGGAAGACAAGATTCAGGGATAGAGATCAATGGAGGACAATTTTTATTGAAGCTAAGAACCTTTTTAAGACTGTTATGCCGTAGAAGAAGAAGAAGAAATATTTTTATGATATTAGACATTTTTCAGACGCGTGCTACTGTATGCCACATTAAACTTTTTTATAATTTTGTACTGATACTCTTCGTGCGATAACTTTTATCATCAGCAAACGTCAGGCATTATGTTTAATTTTAATTTTCAATGTAATTATATTAAGTAATTATATTATTAATGATATTATTAATTATATTATTATTATATTATTATATAATTATTATATTATATTATTATTATATAATTATATTATTAATTACTATTTATTCTTATTAATTATATTATTGTCTAAGCACGTATAGATAATATCTTTCAATTCTGATAATTTAGTGAGTCCCCAACTTCATCGTGTTTTAATCGTTTTGCAAACGATTTTACTTCACGCGCGATCGGCGAAATTTAAGGTTCCTGGCCCTTCGCATTGTCTATCTCTTTTGCCCTTCTTCTTCTATGATGGATTCCCCATGGCGCATTGCGTCAAAACACCCGGGGACTGCCAAAAAAATTGGTGTCGACCCCGGGGCTTATTTGTATTATTTGCACCGGATGAGGAGGGGCAACGATGGAGGCGGGCATATATGGACAGCAGGTCTTAAAGGATATCAACATTTGACTTTGAGAGACTGACAGCTGTACCATTTGGTACAGTAACATTGTTTTTCTCTGTAGTCGCCGTGCGCTCGGGATCGCGCCAGAGATGTCGCTTCCGAACGCATCTCTGAGAGTTATCTGGGGAGAGGAGAGTGTCGTGAGCGTGGAGCGTCAGGTAGCTCAGTAGTTTAGAGCAGTCGCCCGGCAAGCGAAAGACCCTGGTTCGAGTCCCGGCCTAGCAGAACCGCACTCTCGATATTTTTCTCTCTCTGGAACGAAAAGATACGCAGATCTCGAATGCATAGCGTCCCGCCGCCACCTAATATGTCCTCCTCCTGCTAAGAAGCGAGAAAATGCATGCTAAAAATTCTTGCAAGATACATTGAAATTAAAATATATATCTATAAAGTTAATACTTGCAATCGATTAAACAAATTTGTAAGATATTCAATGCGTTCCCTTTTTGCTCTAACAATCAATAATTTATTGTAAATTAATCTGAATAGAAATAGGCAAAGAAATAGGTTAAGAAGATGAATTGTATGTTACGTTAATTTACGACATTCGCCGTCGCCGCGACGCGAAGGTATTTATATATATATATACCAGGTGTAGAAGTATGAAACCGGAATTCCCCTATAAATGGTGCCAGCGTTCAGTTTAGTGACCGTAAGACCGCTACTGCCGCGCTATTATATTCTCCTAACAGCTGACGAATATTGTCAACAAACATAACCCCAACTTTCATTCTCTAGTATATTTTTGTATAACCTTAAACATGTCACGTTTCGAGCCTACTAACTATGATTTGCGGACAGCATTGATTTTCTGTTATCATTTAAAGAAAACTGCTGCAGAATCACATCGAATGCTTGTCGAAGCTTACGGTGAATATGCTCTTGGTAAATCTCAGTGTTTCGAGTGGTTTAAAAAATTCAAAAGTGGTGATTTTGACGTGAGGAACGAAGAA